TGTATGACTGCTATAAAGGGAATTTATTCCCCAAGATTTCATTTACAACTATAAACTTCATTTCTTTTCAGCAGTTGATGGATTAGGGAAGGTACAGTGTGGCCTTGGGAAGTGAGAGGAGGGTCTAAAAGAGCTTTGCAAGATTATCAATAATAAACACAGGAATAGAAAACAAAAACCTAAAGGGAGATGTAATAAATTGAAGAAAATCTTGATTTAGACCTACTCAAAGTGGGAGTTAGAACAAGGGAGATAAATGAAATAGCGGTGTTTATATAGATTAGTTTATTCTGGTTACATCTTTTGAGGAATGTCAGTTTTAGAGAATGTGATATGCAAGGTCTATGTAATTAGAGGTTACTAAAATGTCCATATGAAATCTGTGTGTGTGTGTGTAAGATTGCACACTGCACACAGGCTCTATGAAGAATTAACGTTTGCACTTCGAATTCCAGTGGGAAAAGTAGAGCCACAGAACTAAGTTGTGTTGGTAAAGCCCTGTCACGAGAGCAGAATAATCATTTATACCAAGACTAAGGTTAACTGAAAAGTCAAAGCACTCAGGGTTTAGAGAAAGCATTGTAGGGGAAGAAAGGAAACCATATTTCCTAACTACACCTTCCTAATTCTATTAAATACAATGGCTTGCCGAGTGGCTGGATGTGCAGAGAACCATGTATATTTTAAGTTCCACAGGACGTAAGAACCAGCTTCGTTGACTATCTTACTCACATATAGAAATCTCCCCACTGACAGAAATCTCCTGACCACATAAATTGGGAGAGGCAGAGGAGAGCCAGTTTGTTTCCCGACTCAGAATTCCTATCAAGGTCCAACCAGCAGGACTGTGGAGAATGGCATCTTCCTATCTATAGAGAAGCATCTTTGTCCCATTACCGGACTATGGTGTGAAATTGCCTTAAACATTTAAAACATATATTAACCTATAGAAATTAAGCTATAGCAAAGCCAACACAAAGGCAGTGTGGAGTACTGGAAAAAGCATGGGCTTTGTCCTTGGACAGCTGTGCTCAGTTGCTGGCACACAGTAGGTGCATAATAAATGGTAACCAGTCTATAGTATGAAAGAAACGATGTTTGCTCAGATTTTTTCCACTATTATTCTCCATCCTGAATATAATCCTTCTTCTTATCCAAATTCTCCACGTGACTAAAATATTCTGTTCTCTGCCTCAACTCATACAGGGACAGGATAGGATGCAGCACCACGTAGCAGTCAGAAGTCTGGGAGCGGGAGACAGTTTCGGGGTTTGAACACTAGCTCTTCTCTTTACTGGCTGTGTGATGTCAAGCAAGCTGTGTATGTATTTATTAATCACTTATTAATGTACTTATTGATTATTTATTAAGCTTTGTCTATAAATGGAAGTAATTGTAGTACCTATATTAATACTTCACTGAGCTACTGTGAGAATTAGAAGAGAAAATCCATGCACAGGATTTTGCACAGCACCTGGCAAACAGCATTCAAAAAATGCAATTTATTATCATTGTTATTTCCCATGGCAATTATTTATTATTATAATATATTATTATTATTTCTGGAACAAAATGAGAAGCAATGAATTTTACATGATGAATGTGAAATCATTTCTTTTATCCCTCAAACTCCCTGGAGACTAACTTTTAGCGGAGGAAATGAACAACCTGTGCAAAGCACAAACACGTGACCCAAAATTTACAATGAGAGAGGTCTGGATTTGATGCTAGATTTCTGTATATTTTGAAGGCAGCAAGAGCTATTTTAAATTGTCTTAAACCAGACTACCAGCTTTCATTGGACTACCCTAGGGGAAAAAATAACTAGATCCATTTCAGAAAGTCTACATTAGAGGCAGAAACTATAATTTAAAAATATGAGATTCAAGTTAAGATACTAACAAATACAGGGATTTATAATACATAGATGCTTTCCGTTCAGATTTATATTCTATCATTTTCTAGGAAAAAAATGAGTCATGGAGCCACTGCAGTACACTTCGAAATATTAATAAAGATTTACCTAGAGAGACAGAAATGCAGTGGGGAGCCATCAAAGTATGTTTTAATTGATCTATAAAATTAAAATGTGACATAAAAATTATTGTCCTTCCTATTCTCCTTTCAACTTTCTTGCTGTATTCTAGCAGTGGAGTACATAAACCTATATATTTAAACATTGAAAACATTGAGTATTTCCACCTGAATGTTATTTTTTTTCTTGGCTTACTTAATACATTCTAATTTGCCCAGGATATTCTAGTTGCATGACAATCATGCTAAATTTGTTTTTAACATTTTTCTTTTACTTACTTGTGCAGCCATGCAAAGGGGAGTGTATATTAAAAGCCTTTTCATTCATCATTTACTTGCTTATTAATTTGGGAATTAAATTTTGTTTTCATAACACTTCTTCATCCAGAAATACTGGCTTTTATAACTCTACCTTCGGAGCTTGATGTTCCTTCTTTATGAGGAAATAAACTGTTAAATTACACAACAGAGCAAGTCATAAAAAATTCTGGTTAAACAAGTTTTGTAAAAGCAGGAGAATTTGCTCTATACAAATGAGCTAACATCTAAATATTTGAAAGACTTAAAAGACATTTAACACTAAAACTATATATGTTTAAGAAAGTCCAATCTTTTACTTGTGATGGAGAAGATATTTTAGGGTGCTACAGTCCCAAAGGTCATTATTTAAAATACTGGCCATCACTGTATTATATATAGTTTCCAGTGCTGGCTATAGTACCCTAGTCAATGGGATGCCAGATAAAACTAGCTTTTATTCTACCAATCTGCCCCATAAGAATTCAAAGACTGAGCAAGAATGCAATACTACCAGATGATACCAAATTATAAACATTCTAAATAGAAAATTTCTGATTTAGACAACTTAATTCTCAGTCACATATATTTAATAACTGACCTGGACACACAGAAATTCCTTTTAATAGTAGAGCTAAAATTAAGTATGGACTTTAAAAGTGTCAAATCAAACGGATAGCCATTGCATAAACATATTCAAGCAAGAAATTTAATATTTTCTTTATTTAGTAAAAACAAAAATAGGCCTTACTGGATCCAGTTTGCATTTTTAAAAAATCAGATGATACAGGATCCTAGGTCAATTCAGTAAATTAATTAATTTCAGTTAATTTGCATGAAACATCTTGATTTTTGTATAGTACCTGTATTAGTTTTTGACTGCTCCTACAAAAAAAGTCTTTCTGAGCTAAAATCAAGGTTGGTAGGGCTGCGTTCCTTCTCTGGAGGTTCTAAGAGAGAATCCCATTTCCTTGCCTTTTCCAGCTTGTAGAGGCTGCCTGCACCCCAGGATCATGGCCCCCCCCTTCCTCCATTTTCAAAGCCAGCAGCTGTCATCTCCAAATCTCTCTCTCTCCCCTCTGCCACCCTCTTCTACTTTTAAAGCCCCTTGGGATTACGTTGAACCCATCAGGATAATCCACGATAATCTCCCTAATTAAAAGTCAGTTGATTCACAACCTTAATTTCATTTGCAACCTTAAATCTCCCTTGCTATACAGCCTAACATTTTCACAGGTTACAGGGATAAGGAGGTGGGCATCTTTGGGGGGTGAGGGGGAGTTATTATCCTACCTACCATGGTACATCAGATTTATATCTAAACTGCAATATTCAATTCAAGTCAATATTCACTCAAGCAAATTAAAATTCTCTAATACTACTGCTATTATTATTATTGTTATTATAGTGTGGAATAAAAATGTAAAAATTACAAAAAAAGATTTTAAATTTGGGTTAGATTATCACATCTTCTTTCAATAGAGACATGCCAACTTGCCCAGCCTCTGACCTCTTTCTCAATGCTTGTACCAATGTGACACCATCGAATAGTTTATGCCTTGGTCTCAAGTTTATCACAAGTCAGTACACTGTAGATTGTATGCTGATAAAAGTATCAATTTCCCATAAGACAATGTAACAGATATTGCTTATTATACTTTCTATATATTATATTATGGCAACAATTTTTTTTTTATCCTGAAGGTACATCTCAGACTACAATAAAAACTTCAAAAGAAAATACTATTTCACTAACATTGACTTCAGATTTTTCAGGAAGAGGTATATTGGAAGAGTAGATTATTAGCATTGGCATAGATTTTAGAGATACCACACCCCATTTTAGGAATGATACAAAGGAAACTTGGCCCACAGATCTTCATTCAACTTACCTGAGGTCACATAGCTAACGTGTGACAGAGCTGTCTCCTGATCACTAAGTGTTCTCATGATTATGCTGTTCACCTTACATATAAAATAGGGTCAACTATGACTCTTATTGCTATATCATGTTGTAAATTAATAGCCTTACTGACTTACATTTCAAGGGACTGTAGAAGTAGTATTTATCATTCTTTCCCATGACAATACATCAACTAAGCCAAGGATTAAGTCCTACTAACACCCTGTGTAAATGACACTAAATTTATTAAATCTCACATAATAAAAAGAAACAGCATAGAAGAAAGAGAAACTAATCTGATGACAGAAACAAAGAATGAGTCTACGCTAATAATGCAGATAATTTACATAAGACAATGAAAAACTTGACCAATATTTAACTTTTTTATGATAAATCACTATTTCTTTTTGGTGGATTAAGAAAGTTTATATGAATTTTCTGGGAGAAAGAAAAATGATTTAGAATTGTACAGTTAGAGAAAGATCATGTCAAGAGTATTTGAAAATTGTTATTTTTTCCAAATATTTTGATCTCTGCTTTAAAAAGTATCAGCTAAACACACCTATAGCCCAGCCCTAACCTAATAAAAGACAAACATCACTCTAATTTTTAAACTAATTTCTTTCAACTATTAAATATATGTGGTTTCCTTCAGATAATAGGGCTGAATTCCATTTTTAAAAGTTATGGGGGTGGGGAAGCCTCTTAAATTATCAATAAAACTTTATTTTCTTGGTATCATAAAGTAGAATGAAAATCAACTTACTTGATGTAATAGGGCACTTTATTATGTGAGATGGATCTTTGCCATGGCAGCTGGACTGAAGCTGGGGAAAGAAACAAAGGGAGATTATTGGAAACACTGGTAACTCAAAAGCCTTACACCTTAATGCAAAACAACTGAACATATTTTACAGCCAATTCAATGAGAACTGCTCTGGTTTTGGAGCTGTATTCCTATAATTATGAAATCCACTAGGCCAAACAAAAAACAGCTTTAAAGATTCATTTGAAGTGAGGAAAAAAACAACACAGGTTCAATTTCTAATACTTTTAAAAATCACATTTTATCATCTATAACCACCACAATTTAAAATTTAATGCCATCTGGAAACTGTACTCCACTGTTTTTTTTGGAGATAGGGTCTTGTTCTGTCACCCAGGCTAGAGAGAAATGGCATCATCATAGCTCACTGGAACCTCCAACTCCTGGGCTCAAGTGATCCTCCTGCCTCAGCCTCCCCAGTAGCTGGGACTTGGCTAATTTTTCTATTTTCTGTAGAGACAGGGTCTCCCTCTTGCTCAGGCTGTTCTCCAACTCCTGGCCTCAAACAATCCTCCCAACTTGGCCTTCCAAAGTGCTAGGATTACAGGTGTGAGCCATCCCGCCTGGCCATGTACTCTACATAATTTTGATAAAGCTAAAACCAAAATTAATTTTACTTGGTATACCTGGATTAAAAACTAGATTGTTCAAGACTGGATTTTCCAAATCACTAATAACATTTCTTACTTTGCATCATATTCACGGGAATAGCTGTTGAACACAGATGGCATTTAAACAAATTTAATAATATGAAATAATAAAAGAGAAAATTCCAATAAAAATAGGCGAAAGGTTGTAAAGAACCAAGGCAATCATCTGGGCAGAAGAATCCCAAATACTTATTTTCATATGAAATGCAGAGTGAGCCCAGTTTCCTACTTCTGCACTAGGCATTGCTATAATTTAGATGTTTATGTTTTTTTATTAAAGTACTTATTTTTTACAATTCCAGTTACTTATTTCTAAAAATGTATTATTTTTACATTAAACCAATTATTTTAAGAACTTATTTAAGAAGAGTAGTACATATGAATCTAGAGCTATAAAGGAATTTTGCAAAATGAACTAATGAGAAAGTTCGAATAAAACTTTGCACATATCGCTATGCTCTTATGTAGCCAGTTGTCGCCACTGATTTTTTTTTCTGAATTTCATGTCATATTAATATATTACAAATATATATATCATTCTAAACTTGGCCAAGCATTTTCAAATATATCTTTTGGTAAGGAAGCCAGCACACATTAAAGTTCCATTTGATAAATGGGGAACCAAATACATAGAGATAAAATAACTTGCGCAAAAAGTGATAGCCAGGAAATAAATGGTCGAGCTCAAATGTGATCTCAGAATTTCTGAACACTAGTTCAGCAATTTTTCTACTCGACTCATCTTTATAAAATGCAAGCATTCCTTTCTCCATGTCCATAAAACCTATAAAAAGGGCATGAAAATGAGGAACTAGGTATGTTAAATTTCTCATTAGAGCCAACCTCATTTCAGTGCTGGCACCAGGCTAATAGGTCAGTTTGTATTTTGTGCCTAACCAAACAAGCTTCTTTTATAACCATGGATAAAGTCCAAGAAATATAATACAGCCAAAGATTCCAAGCAGCAAGGGATAACAATTGTTGAATTTACTAATTGGGATTTTGTTTACACTTCTCCATTCATTTTAATAATTGTTTTGATTTGAATAACTTCGACCTCCTTGGACCATCAGTTCTAAGCAATAAAAGGCCATGTGTTTGAGTTTCACAAAATATGTTTGAATTTCACAGTATTTCACTTCCTAAGGAATATGTGCTTGATTTCTACTATGAGAGTGATTGCTTAGTTAAAGTGTAGGGTTTCATCAATATTAAAGATATTGATCCTTAGAAGTGAAAAGAGAATCTCTATTATTTTGTAAATTTCTCTTTAATTTGGTCTTAGTACATAGCTTCACATTCTATAAAATTCAGTTTAAGCAATCTGGAATATTTAATACCTAATGAGTATATTGCAAATCTTCATCAACATTGAATTTATCCAAACCTTAAACATGCATCCTGGCACCCAGGTATACAGTATAATTCCAAGAAGGACTACACATCACTCAAAGATAGACTACATAAGGGTTTGTGAACCAGAAACAGTGTGTGTGGTGGGGGTCGGGGAAGGGGTGGTAGCAAATGTTAGTCAGGAAGGGCAGAAAATGACTGATTAGGATTCTTGAAATTATAAAAGAACAGCCTGACCTTTAATTGAGGTAAAACAGTTTATCAACAGTGACAACAAGATTAAGAGAAAACACAAATGCAATCAATTTAGTTGCAAGACATGGGATTACTTCGGTTTTCTCTATGGTTACAGTTAAAAAGAAGTTGTCATAATTGAGAAATAAGCTTTGCCCTAAGTTTCGAACTTGACTTAAATTGGATTAAATGAAACAAATTGCTTTCTTACATATATTTGCCAAAAGAAATGAAAGGAAAGGAATTAATATTTACTCAAAGCATTTGTGTCAAGAACTGTGCTAGGTGCTTTGCGTAACTTGATATGGTTTGTCATTTAATTCTCAAAATAATCAGAGGAAAGAGGTATTATGATATTTTAAGACACAGAAATTAACTTTCCGAGATTCACAGTTCTGGTAAATGGCAGCATGAATATTTAAACTCAATCTGGGTGACTCTAAATTCTACATTCTTTAGTGTCCTCAGCAGTGAATGATAAATAAAGTCGGAGCTCAACTTACTTATTCATGAACAGTCCATAAAATTAAAAATTTCAGTTGAAGAATATTACATAAAAATCTACAAGTGTAGTTTGGCTAAATTTGCAATACTTGACCAGAAGAAAAGTTAAGTGTGACTGCAATGAGCCTAATGAAACCAGAATCTTCTCATTTAAAGATTTATGAAGAGTGATTTTTTTACATTAAAAGCTTCAGATGCAGCACTATTCACAATAGCAAAAATACGGAATCAATTTAAGTGTCTATCGGTGGACGAACGGGTAAACAAAATGTGGTATAGATACACAATAAAATACTATTCAGCCATAAAAAAGAAAGAAATCATGTCATTTGCAGCAACATGGGCAGAACTGGAGGACATTACGTTAAGTGAAAAAAGCCAGGCACAGAAAGACAAATACTGCATATTCTCGTTCTTCTGTGGGAGCTGAAAACATTCACTCTTGGAGATAGGGAAAAGAAGGATAGATACCTCAGGCTGGGAAGGGTATGTGAGTGGGAGAGGGGATAAAGAGAGGTTAGTTAATGGGGACAAACATACAGTTAGAAAAAAGAAATAAATTCTAATGTTCGATAGCAGAGTAGGGTGACTATAGTTAACAACAATGTATTGTATATTTCAGAGTAATGGAAGAGAGGACTAGAGTGCTTCCAACACACAGAAATGATAAATACTCAAGATGAACCCCAAATATCCTGACTTGATCACTATACATTCTATGCATGTAACAAATACATGTACTCCATAAATATGTAAAATATTATGTATCAGTAAAATAATAAAAAAGAAAAAAGCTGCAGATGCCTTTTAAACTAGTAAGCGCTTTTGAAAGAGAAAAATTAATTTCAAATCTTAAAATATAAAAATGATTTATTATGAAAAAGTTCATAACCTTTGTCTATGACAAAGCAATAATGATATGATACTGTATGAGTTACCAGAAGAGATGGTCCAGTGAAAAACCATAAAGACAAATTCATTTCTATCCCACTTCAAAGACTTATCAATTGTCATCATAGTATTATAAATAATGAATAAGCAATATTTTAATTAATATGAATATCTCCTTTTATACATTTGATATAAGCAAATACATTTATAGCAAAGAATATAGCTTCTTAAATAAAAGTGAAAGCATATGGTGATTCATTCAATTAACGCAATCAGTCAAGTTTATCAGTACTTACTAGAAAGGAAATGCTGAGAGGATGGTCCAAAATCTCTGTGGGCTTCCTGAAGCTGTTTAAGGCGATCGTCCACAGAAACCTGTATACATACACATAAGACAGATGAAATAATATGATTTCAAAACCATGACTTTAATCATATCCTTGACTTAAGGACTATAATAAATGATGCTGTTGCCCAAGATAATAATTGCTTGTATAGATTCCTTCTCTATCTCTGGTATCAAAGCAATGGTACAAAAATGGACTCCTTCTGGCATCAAGTAACAGTAAATAATGCCAGGTGCTCTTCTAAGCAATTTATATGAATCCACTCTTTTAATCCTCACAATAAACATAATGGCTAAGTATTATTACTATCACCACTTTACAGGTGAAGAAATGGAGACACAAAGAGGTACCCAAGATCATAAAGCTAGTGAGTAGCAATGCTACTATCCATACCCTGGTCATCTGGTGCCAGAACCTATGCCTTGTTACTTACACCACCTCCAAGGCAGTATACGCCTCTTTAGCCTCTAACATCGATGTGGCCACGGGATCGTTGACTACTAATCTCTCTTTTGTAAGGAAGATGGTAAAATGCGCTGTAGAGGGCAAATGAAAAAGAAGCCTAGGATACTCCAAGAGAAACTAGATAGATGAATAGATAGATAAGTAGATCGACAATGGGTAGATAAGATAGAGTAAGATGATAGATAAAAGACAGTGAAAGGACACATCAGTATGAACCACTTTATTTTCCTCCAAGATCGTGTCTGATCATCTCTACTTAGGTTTGGGATGTACATTCAAGTGTATACCAGCAGTTTAATACACCCCATATATTTGTTTACATACATTCTATAGTTAATTCTCTTATGAAAATGCAAACAGTTATGACACTGAGAAACTAAATGCAAATCAATAATAATTACATGGAGCCCACTGACATTTCCATTTCCCTTTTCCTGGTCTTGGTGTAATGCTAGTCATTGTTTCACTTAGAATGACAATCTTATTTTCAGCTGTCTTTAATTGAGACTTGTGCATGTCTGGCTCACTGGACAGCTCTAATTTCTCCTGGTTGGCCATTTAAATAGCATTAGTATGCACTTTGTTTATTAAGGCCAGAAAGCATTAAAATGCCACACGTTATGAGTAAAGTAAATGTTATTCCTAAAATTTAACAGCGTTTCCTGTCAGCATAGATTTTTTTCTTCCTATCCAACCAGCAACTAACATCTGAGCTCTAGTGGTTACCGGATCATAGATAAGGATGACAGAATACATGTCTTCTTTCAAGTATAACATTTTCCCTGACTTCTAATCTTTGGAGATGCTGATAACAGAAATAGAATGGGAAATAAATCAAGATGGACCACAAGAATCTTCACCTGAAGATAATGATTTAGCGCAAGGGAGCAGAAGAAAAAAAGAAAAAAGATCAAACATTATTTTGTTCCAGCCACTAGAAAAGCACATGCAAACTCAACAGATTTTGCCTTACTAATCCCAGATTGACACTCTTCGCAATGACAGATTGTTAAATATTATACGTTCATTTCTTACTTCTTCAGTTTCATTAAGAAAATATGAACCACTGAGTATTTTGACATTTGAATTAATTCAGCAAATCTATTATACTATAAAATATTATTATCTGTCAAATAAAACACTTTTATGTGCTACATCAAAATTGCATATTTAAAGTCTAGAGTCATTAAAACAATCGCATTAGAAGAGCTCAGATGTAAGAGCCGAAGGTAAACACCACCATGGTGTGAATGTGCTGTCCGGAAAAAGTAAGCAAGATATTTAAATAGCAACCAGTTGGAAGAAAAAGGATGGAGACTTTCTTAATTTTTCAAAATAAAACAACAACAACAAAAATACATGAAGGTTAAAAAAATAACTCCTTTATGAATCATTATGGGAAAAATGTTTCTGGGACCTACCGTAGGTTTCAACTACTGTGACTTATCTGATCTTTTGCAATTTTCTACAAATATCATATGAATAGCATATGAAAAAATTACATTAAAATCTATATGCATAAATAAATGAGGCTCTTGGGTTCAAGATACTGAAAGACAAATACCTGGTGTTGCCACATGCTAAATTCATTATCAATTACAAAAGAAAGAAAAAAATGATGGTGCATGGAATTATAGCATAGCAAGGGAGGGTTCAAAGCCACCAAGTTGTAAGCCTACATTATCGCTGGGGATAAGCTGATACCTGTAAAAGTTTCCATCGCATATTAAGGTCATCTAGCTGGCGAGACATCTTTACAGATGGATGGAGGTCAAGTGGAGACAGCTGACTGGATAAATCATTCACTGTTTTAACTTTTAGGTGGATTGGTGCAATTTCTTCCCTAAATGCCTACAAGAAAAGGACAGAAAATATGCCATCAGAAAGAATACAACAAAAGCTAGTACACTTGACCCTTGAACAACATAGGTTTAAATTGTGCAGGTCCACTTACGCATGGAATTTTTTCAACCAAACATAGGGAAAATACAGTATTTGCAGAATGCATACCCGAGTATACAGAGGGCCAACTTTTTGTATAGTCGGGTTCTGCAAGGACTTTGAAATTTAACTATGCTTGGATTTTGGTATCCTCAGGGCCTCGGAACCAATCCCCTGCATACACCACATCGAGGAAACTGTACCACCAACTTTCTTTCAGGAAACATGGCAAAGAGATTATCTGCTGCAGCTACCCACTCAACACCACAGCTGACTTAATTCAGCCTTTGGTAACCTGGATGAGGAGCCAGAGTCACCCTTTATGACCCAACATTATAAATTAGTTTGTGAAGAGAAAAACCACAATTCAAACTTATTTAAATGATTATGTAGTTCCTTTCATATTTTTTCGTACATGAAATTTAGTCTGGAAAACGTTTGCCATTATTTTTCACTTTACTGATACCTAGTCTTTATTCTATCCTTAATTTTCTTTCATATTTTCTTTTCTTTCACCTATTTTAACATGGCTCCTTGAATACTTTTTCGCCCAATGCAACAACTTGATTTAAACATGTTTCCACTTAAAATTAAGTTAGAAAGTGGCCAGTAAAAACAACTTTCCTAACCAAAAAATTAATGCCTATTTTATACTCCATAGGTTAGTCCTGTCCCTTTCAAAATCATTTATGATCACTGTCTGTGGTTTGGGCCAGGACAGGAAGAGTGAAGCCTACAGGAAAAGAGGTAAATGAGTCTTAGAATTGACAAATGCCACCTCTGAGCACCGTACAGAGAGCTGGTATGTGTGGGGGCAGAGGGTGTATGTGAAGAGCAGAAGATAAAACAAAACATATTTTGGATCAGTGACAGTAATATGTCCCATGAGAGCAAACGGAGTAACGAGAATAGTATGTTTTCCCCATTCTCCACATAACTCTACCTGCCTCTCTCTATGTTTATGTTCCCTCTTTCCAACAGTCTTTGCCTAGATCCCAGGGATCCTTTAAAAGGCTCAACTCTGGTCCCCACCCATCAGGAAGATTTCCCTGAGGCCTTTCCTCATGTAGCCTAGGCTGGAAGCCCCTCCCAGGCACTCTTAAGGCATTTTCTCTGCCCTCTCCAACTTAGCCAGGACTTTCAGCTGGCACACATCTGGACATACACTTTGGGACTGAGGGGTTTGAGGGTGGGGCCGTTGTGATTGTTTGGTGCCATACCAAACCAGTTGTTAGATATTTTAAGTATCATTTCTCATCAGAACACTTAGTAGTTGATATTATGAGCAACCATACTCTTGACGTCCCCAGCAAAGAACGGAAGCTTCTTGAGAACAGACACTCGCTAGCATTCAGCACGTGACTTGCAATACAAGAGGGAAGAATTCATTTCTATTGATAAAGGCCCACAAAAATGATATCTGAGGCAACCATATTCTTGACGTCCCCAGCAAAGAACGGAAGCTTCTTGAGACCAGACACTCGCTAGCATTCAGCACGTGACTTGCAATACAAGAGGGCGGAATTCATTTCTATTGACAAAGGCCCAGAAAAATGATATCTGAGGCAAGATTAAGCCAATATAGAATGAGAAACAGAATTGGGATACTAAAAGAGAAGAGTATATTTTTAATTCTTTGGTATGTCACAAAACTATTGTTAATCATATACAAAACTTAACTTATGGGTAGTAGGTGTTGTAAACATCCTGGTAACATTGGCCTTCAGGTTTTTATCATTTCTACATTCCCTATTATTTAAGAGACCAGGCATAAGTCTATTAGCCCCATTCCCTCACCACTACAAGTTTAGTAAAGAAATAATATACACCAGAAATAATATATACCAGACTGCTTTGAAGACTAAAGTTTTATTAAAACACTATGGTATTAATTTGGCTTCTTCCTTATGTTTATAAAAGGAAAGCCTCTTTAACCACTTCCCCCTTTCCTTCTCTCTTCCAAAACATTTCTAGTTACCTTATATAACTCCCCCTTCTATAACATGTGAAGGATGGCAGAATATGTCACTCCCAATAGGTCACTTTGGCAGAAAGATTTTGAGCTGAAGGCACTTAAAAAAACAGGTGGTACAAAAGGGAACTCTGACCTTTGACTTTTTCTTCCTGAAAGCAGGAGATATTATGAATAAAACTCCCATATTTAAAATGCCCTCCCTATACTAGAAGGAAAGTAACCTATCATCAAGGATGAAAAGTTAAGACTGAGAGAATTCTGTGCAAACAGACCTTGTTAAAATAATTCTTACTTTCCTTTAGTCTATCCACATAATTTAGTTACTTTTACAAAATTGCCTCTTTTTGTTCAACCTAATTTAAAATTATTTAGTTGTTAACCATTTCTTCCGGTCTTCATTTCCTTATGGGGGGCTCTTGTGTTGCATAAAACTATATGAAATAAATTTGTATGCTTTTCTCCTGTTAATGTCTTATGCCAGTTTAATTCTCAGACCCACATGAAAAACCCTAAGAGGGAAGAGGTAAAATTGGCCTCCCCGACACATGTATATGCTAAAAATAATCATTATGGCTGATAAACATCAAAATAATATTAAGCATCAACTTTATTTTTGAAAAGAAAATTAATCCTAGGTAAAGCAGAGAA